CCTGTAAAATACTTCAAGGTGTTATCATTTATTATTTGTTGTGAAAGCTCCTCTCAAGGGAGATGAAATGTCTTCTGTTCATTCTGGATGTTCTTCACCACATGCGTTTTGGGGAAAGACAATTGTTTGAGGTATTTTGGAAACTTACTTTTGGTAGCTGTGTTGCTTTTCATAGATGAAGGGGAAAAACATGATAGGCCCTTAAAGCCTAGTCTAAATTACCAGCAAAATCTGTGTGGAACTGTATTATGTAACAATTCTTCTTGATATGTTTAAATCATAGATTTTTTTTGTTTGTTTGTTAATGGCAATTAGTATTTTTGTTTGCATTTGAATAAATAAATAGAAATGAGTTTTAACTGTAGTGTCCAAATAGCAATTTAGTGGTGACTGGACTCAGTGTTACTGTATTTATTGCATAGGCAAAAATTATTCTTATGAGCCCATTGACATTGTTACCTGGATAATGCAATTCTGCTTTTTTGATTTAAGTTGTTTCAATCTAACTGTTCCAACCTGCTAGCTCTGCTTCCATTAGCAGAGCTTTAGAGCTGTTGAGTTAAAAATATATATAATCTGTTTTTCTCATGCAGCATGTATCAGGGCTGAGAAAGATAGTAATACTTTGGATTTGAAAGACATATCCTTTGCATCTCCTGTATATTCAGGAACAGCTTGTCTCCACTTAAAAAAAAAAAGTGAGGAAAAAAGGGGGAGAAAAAAAAAGAAAAAGAATGGTTTGGCTTTGTTTAAGTTTCAAAATCCTGCTTGGAGAAATCAACTGGGCAAGGATGGATGTTTAAGACAATCATCAGGGTATTGTGACCATGCATATGCAGTCAGAGACAGTTGGGTAAATTGGCAAAGCGTGTTTCATAGAAGCCTTCACAGAACTGGAGAGCAAAGGAGTCTGGACAGGGTACGGCTTGTATTCACTGTAGCTACATGGCTTGCAGAAGAAAGTCATGGATAGGGAGGTGGGTGAGGTAAGAATGGAGGGACAAGTGGCTGCCTCTGAACTGAGTGCTTCCTCCTGGGTCTTTGTGACCAGCTGAAGTGTTCTCTCCTCCTTCCCTCTGGTGTGTATTAAAGTGGTTATTTTTCTGTTGCATGCTGAAGTGAGTGGAGGGATACTTGGTTTTGGTATATTGAGGAGAGGCAGAGATGTATTGATGTGATTATACTTTGTATGCGTAAAAGTATAGGGCTGGAAAGGTTCTTGTGGTTCCTCAGGGAAGGTCCCAAGCAGGACTGGCATTGCTTAGGACTTGAAAACCTACTGTGGCCTCTTCACTAAAACACATCTGTAAGAAGTCATGGTCAACCTAAAACTGTCTAAAACTGGAGTGTGCAGCTCTGACGCAGATTATGACTTCTGTGGCTGCTTAAATGGTAGAAGTGGTTGAAATCCATAGGACAGTGGTTGTGTAAATGCATATGTCTTGGTAAATAAAGTAAACTAATAAGCCTCAATGTGCTTTTCATAGGCAGGGTTTAAATTTTTTCCATTCTGCCTTCAAAAGTGTTGTGGCTTAACCCCAGCCAGCAACCAAGCACCACACAGCTGCTTGCTCCACCCTGCCACGGTGGGATGGGGGAGAGAATAAAAAAAAAAAAAAAAGTAAAACCCATGGGTTGAGATAAAGGCAGTTTAATAGGACAGCAGAGGACGAGAAATAGTAGCAATCATAATAATGATAAAAGAATATACAAAGCAAGTGATGCACAGTGCAATTGCTCACCACCCGCTGACCAATGCCCAGCTGGTCTCCAAGCAGCGATTGCTGCCCCCGGGCCAGCTCCCTCCAGTTTCTATACTGAGCATGGCCCCATATGGTATGGAATAGCCCTTGGGTCAGCTGGGGTCAGCTCTCCCAGCTGTGCCCCCTCCTAGCTCCTTGTGCACCCCCAGCCTGCTCACTGGTGGGGTGGGAGGCAGAAAAGGCCTTGACTTTGTGTAAGCACTGCTCAGCAGTAACTAGAATAACCCTGTATTATCAACACTGTTTCCAGCACGAATCTGAAGCATAGCCCCAGACTAGCTACTGTGGAGAAAATTAACTCTACCCCAGCCAAAACAAGCACAAAAAGTGTCTAACAAAACATTTGGTATTTAAAGAAAATAAATAGTGAGTCTGTATTTTCCTGCCAAATGTATTACCAAATGTCTTGGTTGAATAGCAAGCTACTGAAAGGGGCTACTTTTCTGCATTGTGGAGGTTCTGTCATTTGGTTTAAATGCAGTATTTCAACCTTTGTATCCTTGTACAAAACTGCAAAACAGCGAAGGAGGGGAAAAGAAGGTAAAACTTCTGCTCTAGCAAGGAGCATGTGGAAATAATATCACGCTCAGGTTTGCATTTCTTGCCTTTGTAGGAGTAGCCAAGTGTGTGCTTTCAGCCTGGTCAGAGGGTTTTCTGGAGATGGAAGGAATGTACAGCAATCTTTTCACTCTGGTGATCACTAATTTATCCCTTCCTCTTTAACCTGCCTATGCCTGATGTCGGTCACAGCAAACTTTAGTGTGGCTGGAAGTGCCACAGCAGCAAGGTGGAGCTCTGAGCTGTAAAAGAGATGCAAGAAGCTGGGGAAATACTTGGTGCATGATGAATTCTGCTCTGTGTGCCTGTCTTCCTACTTCTACCTGAGAAAGGAAGGCTTATCTTTGGTTTTCCTGTGCAAGCTGCAGTGTATATGTAGCCTTAAACAGCTCTGAAATGAAAAGGTTCCTTCTCTGTTACAGTAATTTTTATCTTATTAGAACAATTCTGTTCCACAATGTAAGTGCATATGCCATGATGTTAGGGTTGTGCGTCTGTGTTACCATAGTGAATGGAAAAACAACTCTAGCAGGTTTTGAGGAGCAGTATATTAGGCTTGGACAAGTCTTACAGCAGATGACCTCCTTGTGGCTGTAAGAAAAAAGCCTGGCAAGCACCCAGATCTTCCTTTATGGATAAGTATTAATTGTCTGCAAGACTGTCTGGCAAGAAGAATTATTAGATAAACAGTTTTATCCTGTAATTACAATCTTGCTCCTTTGCAGCCTTGTGTGCTTTTTCTGAGCCTAGATTTGCCTTGCTATGATCATTGACCATTGTTCATACAGGGAATAAGGCATTGGGGATGGGTAGTCTGTACCTCTCCAACTGGTAAACCCATTCTGCTGTGAGGATGAGGGATTTTTAAATCATTTCTGCCCCCAGAGCATTTGTTGCCTGACTAATTTCATGGCCCTGCAGTTAAGCAGCGAGATTTCTGTGTGAGTGTTAGAGAAAGAGCCTGCTTCACAGAGCGTACAATTCATCTGTATGCACAGGGTCAGTATGAGATTTAAACCCTTTTTAAGACCTTTTTAAGCTCCTTGGGCTTAACTGCTGTGTAGATTGTTGCCTTGCAGAAGTGAGGGAGTTTGACATGGTAAGAATAATGGGTAAATTATTTTTGAGGAGGTTTGGGTTTTTTGCTTTATTTTACTCTGTGGATATTTTATTTTTGGAAGGGAGACAATGATCTGCTGCAGTCTGGGAAATGTGAACTTGAATTTTGACATGTATTCTTTTTGGATGCAAGTCACTTAGGACTCAGAATTACATTGCCAAAATAAGTGGGATCTTTATAGGTTTCTTTGGGATCATGAACGCCTTCTACCTCGGTTTAGTAGTTTTCCATATTGGGAAGGGAATGATCTGTTTGTATTCATAAATGTTACTGTGGTTTGTTCTTTACCAGCCTGACCTGAAGACTTCTGGTAGTTTCTGACTTCTTGAGAAGTCTGAAAAACACATTAGCATAAACCCTTGACTCCTAGCCCAATATTTTATTTTCTTAAAACAAATGTTTTGCTAATTAAAAGGTGATTTCCTGACATTTTGTTACTATGCAAAGAATTTGTTGTGGCTAGATAATGATGAGAGAAATCGAATTCTTTGAGTTAGTGCTTTTCTCAGTTTTGGGAACTGAGCTGTATAGTTGGGGGGGCAGGGAGGTTGGAGCCTTTTTTAGATTTGAGAAACTCCAGAAAGTTTACCTGATTCTCCTGGGCTATAAATAAAATATTATCACCAGCTTCATATGCTTCACTTCAGGGATTTCCTTGAGATAGTAACTTTCAATATAGCTTGGGGAAATTGTGTTAGTGGATGGGTGCCTAAAGTAAAACTCTGGGCTGGGTTGCTTGCTTCCAGCTCTAGGTGGGCATTTACTCCAGGGAGTATGGAAGCTCTTCTGGAGTCTGCAGAGGCCTGCAGGAACCCAGTAAATTACCTTGGAGCTTTTTGTTCTTCCGTATCCCATACCTATTTCCTTTCTTTCTGTGGAGAAGAGTATCTGTAAATGTGACTATCTTGGTGCTATGTGTTGTTAAATTGCACCCCATGATTTCTGGAACTTCTGAGCTGCTCATGATGGCTGTTCTTAAATTTGGGACAAGGAGCACTGAACAATGTAGCTTTTTGAGTCTGTGTTCTCTCATTCCATGCTTTAGGATAGGAACTGAACTTCAGTAATGGACATGTCTGGATGTACTCTTGGGCAGCTGGCTCAAGGTGGGCCTGCTTGAGCAAGGGGGTTGGACAAGGTGACCTCCAGAGGTCCATCCCAACCTCAACCATTCTGTGATTCTGTGATGAATTAATTCCCTGTGTGTAGTATATTTAGTTAAGTGGTGATATGTTTAAATGAACACAGGTATACAAGGAATGTACTGTTGTGGAAGAGAGATAATTATATAACTATTATGAGGAAAAATGAATCATTTTTACATTTAATTGTGATGTGTCACTGGGCTCTTAGTGGTTGTTTGCTTCATGTTTTAAAGCAGTAGTATCTACGCAGAATGTGCAAACTGGTCATGTTTATTTGTTGAATGGGAAAGTGAAAAGGGATTTAATTCTTAAAGTTTAAGTTCCAAAAATCATTTAATGGAAGAGCAAGCTAATGTTTAGACCTGATGAGGTAACAGGCATCGCTCTCTAAATGTGTGTTTTCACTCTCTTTCAGGTAATTGAGAATGGGTCCTCAATGATGCTAAGTCTACAATGGGAAGTGTCACACTTCGCTATTTCTGCTATGGGTGCCTTTTCACATCCGTGACCTGGACACTTCTGCTCTTTGTTTATTTCAACTTCAGTGAAGAGAACCAATCCTTCAAGAATGTGCCCGTCAAGGGGCTGGAACCTCAGAGGCCATTTCCAAAAAAATTCTACCCCCGTTTTACGCGGGGTCCTGTTCATATACCTGAATTGCAACAGAAAGAGAATAAGATAGGAAATCCTCTTGGAAATCATGTCCAGGACCCAGTTAAGGGGGAGGTAGAATTCTCTCCTGAAATGGGTAAGTGGTTTTCAGTACTGGTGGCAAAATTATTAAAACAGTAGAAGAAATGAGATATTAAGGTTGGTTTGTTTGTTTGTTTAAAGGATTGCAGGGTAAATTGTGTAATGAAGTAGTTTCGTTTGTTAAAATGCAGGTGGTACTAGTGGCTCTCTTCATTAGGAATTACTTCAAATTTATTCTGTTGTGTTTAATCCAAAATATACTGTTCTTAACATTACAGCTGTGCTATTGAGGAGGACTGGATTATAGTAAGGTGTCTACCCTTGATGTAGTTTTTGCTTTTGGAAGGTTCAGCGTATGCTAGTTTCGTGTCTTACTCCTATGTTGACTGGGCTCAAATACATGAACTTTTATTAGCCACTGAGAAACTCTACTCATATGCAGTAATCCCAAATAGCTTGATAACAATAGACAATGAAGAGGATCCATTGATTTGTAGAATATCCTTGGAGTATGAAATCATCTACAAAAAATGTGTGTGGGACAAATTACAATGAAAGATTTATTGAGATGGTAGTGGTTAGGGCCAAATCCTGCTTACTTTGTACCAACAAAGGTCTGTGTGTTTTGTTGGAGCATATTTCATCAATGAGATGATTTGGGTTTGCCTTCCAAACTGAAATGCTTTGTATATTTAACTGCTTACAGCTTAGTGTTCGCTGTTGTGTTCCGATATGTAAATGGAAGCACGTTGCATACTGGCCTGCGAACTTGCTTTTGTTCTGGAGGCATATGTTAAGTGTTGTGGTATCAGTGTCTGCTGCTTTGGGAATTATGGCATAGTACCTTCATAGCCAGGAGTTTAATATTCATCTGATTGAAGTCCTCTGTAATTACTTTGGATGAATGCTGGTTCACCAGCTTCAAGAGTTTATAGAACTTTACCAAACTTCAGTTTCCGAGTTGATCATTAGACCTGTGTGAATATGTAGGAAAAATGCCAATTCACGTTGCCCCGCGGCATTGCAAATATTTATCAGTTCACTGCAAAAAGCATGAGAGCCAAGTGAGGTGAAGGCCAGTCCAGAGGTGGCCATTTCTTTCCAGCTATTCAGTACTGGCCAGGAAAGAAATTGGACCTTTATAACTGAGAAGTCCCTTGATCTTCAAACCAAGTGACTGGTTGGGTTGGTGAAAGCCAAGGGGAATTACGATGCCAGGATAAATTCTACATGAATCATCAGGAGACCGCTGTCTGTCTGTTAGAATTAGATCAGGTGCTGCAGGAAAGGGCTTCGTGTCTATCTAGGGTAGGGCAGTGATAAACACGCAAAGAAAAAAAAAATGAAAGCGTGTTTGGCATATGATAGCCAAAACCAAACTGTCATCTGGTTGGACAGTCTATCTTTTTTTTTTTTTTTTATCTGGGAGAGCCACATAACACTGCTGAAGTAAAGCTTAAACTGGTGTTTCGATTGCAAAGCCCTTATTTTCCAAGGGCCTTTATCTGCTGTTTGGACTGAAATCTTTCAGGCCTTTTGCATCCATTTTGGACATTGTTCTTCATGAGAATGTTTTAAAAATATTAGCATTCCTTCTTGTCTATATTCAGAAGGTCAGGAAAAAGTGGTTGGTTATGGATGGACTGTAGAATGAAACATTTGGTATGTGGTTCTTAAGCTTGTGCTTTGCATAAAGGAAATGTTTTAAGTTGTCCCAGTGGCATAGTGTTACTGTGACGCTGATTATTCACAAATGATTGAGCTGGGTGTCTGAACTGACAAGCTGGAAACCTTACTTTGGAAATGCATGTGGCTCAAAGGAGGACTGAATTACTGTTTTAGACCTGTGGTGCTGGAAGAGTGTCACTGCCACTGTGAACAGACCTCATTCCTGTCCCTGTGATGCAACTTACACACAGTGGGAACGCTCATCCGTGAGCACCGTAGCATGAGTCACCACAAGGCACGCTGTGGGTGCATCCCACGTCTTTTCCAGATACCACTACCCGGCACTTCCCACTTGGTCCTGCACAAATGTCAAAGCATCTACTCTTGAGGTGTTTGACAGTGCAGCTGCATTGCCATTGCTGTACTCGAGACTAAAAGCGACAGGGTGGGAAATGTAAATGGTCAGAATGTGGATGGACAGAATTCCCTCTAGAAGGTCATCTTATACCTATAGGTAGACTTTGTTGCTGAAACACAACAGGTAGTGATACATCTGTGCTCTGAAGGCCAACCAGGACTATTTGTTTGAAAAGGAAGAAAGCTTCAAAACTTTTTTAATGAACTTTTCTTCTGTTTTTTAACCCATCTCATTTTCTCTGGGCTTGAGCTCAGCTGGCTTTTGCATAGCTGTTGAAAACTGGAGAACATGAGGTATGGAGAGAGGCTGAGAAGATTTGGTTTATTCTGCCTTAGAGAGAAGGCTAAGGGGTGAGATTTTATTGCTGTCAACAGCAACTAAATGGGAGGCTGTAGGGAAGACGGAGCCAGACTCTTTCCAGGGGTGCATGGGATTATGATAAGAAATTAAAGCAAAGAGGAGATTTCTATTAGATAAGAGGAAAAACATTTTCGGTGCGATAGTGGTCAAATGCTTGAACAGAGACATGAAGAGGTTGTAGAATCTCCATCCCTGGAGATACTGAAGGCTTTCAAAACTTAACTGGGCAAGTTCTGAGCAACTTGATCTAGTTGGACCTGCTCTGAGCAGGGGATTAGACCACATGTCCCTTCCAACCTAAATTAGTCTGTGATCCTATGAAACGTACTATCCTGGATGTACGGTAGCATGTGCATGAGGAATGCCCTTGTTAATTATTTTCTGCAGATTTTGAACCATATGGAGATGATGGGCAGCGTGGAAGGAGATAAATTACATGAACCTTGCTCACTTTTTGTACTGAAATTTCAGTGAATTGCCTCCATAACTTGATAACAGCTGGAGAGGACATATGCATCTCATCCTGTGCAGCCAGCTGAACAGAGACAATAAAAAGTCATTGCTCTGTTACCTGAATTGTTGCAGGAGTGTGTAGCAGACACAGCTGGTGGCTACCACTTTCCCCTGTCTCCCTCCTTTTTTTTCTATAGAAATGTCAAGTGAAGCACCATCATGTTTTGTTTCTATTCACACTGGTGAGTATATGGCTCAGTGAGAGAGAAACCCATGGTACTGAGTCAAGGCAGGCAGGATGGCACTGAGGATTTCAACCTTGGCCTCTAGCAGTTTACTTATTTATACCAGCAGTTGCTGCCTCTGCCATGCTCAGCAACAGTTGGTGCTTCTGCTGTCACATAATCAATAGAGAAACATCTAGCTCTGTTGCTATTTCACTTGCTGTCCAAGTCCCAGGTGATATAAACAAGAAGTTTACAGTTTTTTCATAGCTATTTTTATGTTACTGCAGACTTGAGAAAACTGCATGAAATTGCAGCTGCTATTGTGAGGAGTTTTCTACCGCTGTAAATGTATTTTCTCTCTCAAAATTCCCATTACAGACCCTTCATCTGTATGGATAGGTGCTGATGCAGTGTGTGCCTAAGTCTATCCTCTGTTGCTTGTTTGATGTTGGTTTTTAGGTGGTGCTAAGAATTAGAGGCCATTTAAGTGAAGGGAATGTGTCTGGTAAGGCAATAAACACAATGGAGCCATCAGTCTTTGGAGAATGATTTCATTTTATTATAGCTGCAAGGGCTACTCGTAAGTACTACCTATTTGGGGGAGGTAACAAAAATAGTTGCACAAAAATACGCTTTCCAAAACCAGAGAGATTTTTGAAGAATATAATGGGGTTTAGGGGAGGTTAAAGCATACACTTCAATCCTTGATTGCTTCCAAAGGATATTTTTGAGCCTGTTAACTGATCTTGGCATGTTTGTTTTGCAGGAATGATTTTTAATGAAGAAGATCAGGAAGTGAGAGATTTGGGCTATCAGAAGCATGCTTTCAATATGCTTATCAGTAATCGACTGGGATACCACAGGGAGGTGCCTGATACAAGAGATGCGAAGTATGTACTAATTTTGTGTTGCTGAAGGCAGATTTTCAGGTATTTAAACAGGAGTGCTTGAGGTTAGGATTTTTATTCTTTGGTCTCTTCTGTCTTTTTTGACTGAATATTGTTTCTGGAGATGTAATTTTTTGCCAGCTGGAAAAGGTATGTGATAGGTAAAGCCCCACAGAAACCAGGCTTCATGAAAAAAGAAAGACTGCTACTCCCTGAAAATAAAGTTTTTTTTCCTGATTCTTAATTCACTTCAAGAATGCTTAATGAAGAATCGGATTGGATATACATTTATTCAAACTTTTATCATAATAATTTAATTTTTGTGAGTAGTAGGATTGGCAGACAGCTATTTTGATAGAAACAAGATTCTGAAAACAATACTGTAAATAAAAGTCAATGTGGAAAAGACCTAGGAATCCAACTTTCTTTCCCACAATACTAAGATTACATGTCCTATGTCTCTTTCATCTTGCTAGCTGTGTACTCAGTTACTTAAAGCATGCTACAGTATTTTTATTTTTTTGAAGCTTCATTTTGAGATACTCAGTACTGTGACTACCAGAAGAGATGCCATAGTTCTGTTTGGTACCTTTGAAAGATGGACGTTAAATGTTCCAGTGCCCAAGTTAATGAGAGACTTTCACCTTATGTACTATTTCACATTTGTTGTAAGCCTACGGAGGATAAGACAGAAGAATGACTGATGACAAAGGCTCTCTGTTTCAAGTTAAAGTTCTTGCTTGGTATCTGGATTGCAGTGCTCTGAGTACTTTCTGCTAAAAAGCAGCTTTTTTTTCTATAATCTGCCTGATGCATATGGGGGGAAAAACCACCACTGTAACAACAACAAAAAAACCCAACATTGAATTGAAAAATAAATAAACCTGCATCTGTTTTTTCTAGTGGTTTCTCTGGTGTGGGTAAACTTAATGAATCGTACTTGCTGAAATGTCTTTCCCAAGAGCTAAGTTCATTCCAAGTCAGTGAAGACGAAAACTTCTGGGTTTTCGTTTATAGTTTCTTATTTTTATTGGATTCCCTCATGCCTGGCATCTTCAAATGGCATTAATCTGTGATACTGTGCCCTGTTAGAAGTATGGACAAAACTTGAAAATAAGGAGAAAGAATGAATGATCTTCTGCTTTGAGGGGATTCAGCTTGCAGATCAAGATGCTTAAACTTAGCTGCATGTTAGTCAGTTGTCTCTGATTTTATTATAATTAGCAGAGATCCAGTCAATGCAGTTAATGGAGCATGCAGAGCTCTTCAGCTGACAACATGCACTTGTCAGCCTTAGGGTGAGCTGAACACTATCTGTACTCCACTGACAGCAGTGACTAAACTTAAACACCTTAATCTGCAGGCTGAATCCCAACCTTGGTTGTCTAAATAGGTATTTAGCACCATTGGAGGTATTCTGGAATATACAACCTAGTCTCCAGCAGCTGGCCAATGAAATTGTGGGGTTTTTGTAGGCCTCATGTCTTATTTGCCATTCCTGTATGCATCTGAGCTACCCGAGGGTACCAGACAGTGTTTTGACAGCTGAAACAAGCCCTTAGTGTTTTCTCGTGTTTATGTCTTGAAGATCTGTGATTCTCACTCCCACCCCAATCCATTGTATTTTCTGTTTTCTAAGTAGCAGCAATGTTAGTTTTAAGTCTGTGTTATGTGGAGAGTAACTTACTATGCTGAGCCCTGCTACAGGTGTTATACACCTGGGCTCTTTGTTCAAGTTAGGGGTTCTTCCTACACATTTAATGTTTGCTTGTTATTTATAAAGTTTCACTAGTGACCTAGCCCTATGGAAATCCCACTGAAAATGAAGTGATAACTACTATATTTCTGTTTGCAGATGTAGAGAGAAGTCCTACCCTTCTGATCTGCCAGCTGCCAGTGTTGTTATCTGTTTCTACAATGAAGCGCTTTCTGCCCTGCTTCGCACTGTACATAGTGTCCTGGATCGCACTCCTGCACACCTTCTTCATGAAATAATTTTGGTGGATGACAACAGTGAATTGGGTGAGAGAACCTTTCAGTAATGTTTTGGTCAGTGCTTACACTTCTTGACCTTCCTGTCTCTAACTGTGCTTTATTGACTGGTCAAAATAAAAACGTGGAAGCCATCATGCAAAACCAATTCGTACTGCAGTCCATCTCCAAAAAGTGCCAGCCAGTACAGATGCATGATATTCTAAGAAGCCCAGGATGACATCCGCTTTGACACTGGTGCCATTTTACTGATGAGCTTTGTATCATAGAGACTTGAACATTCAAAACCAGGTTTTGAAGCTAATAATGAGGAGTGTGTATTGTGGAGGGGGTGATTAAGCACTTGTTTATAGTTAACTGGTTTTAACAGTTCCTTGCTCGGGCTGCTCTGGTGTTCAGAGCAGATTACGCTGATCTTTCCGCAAACTTTTTGTGGGCCATTACTAACTGTGAATGCATCTGAAAGGAATTGAATGCACATAGTCTCAGCTGCGGTCTTGCAAATAAGTTGATGTGGCACTATGGAAACAGTGTGTCAGGTTTTTTTTTGTACTAGCTCAGGATTTCAGACTGGTGGCGTGCTGGGATCGGGGCTCAGCCTTTGCTGGGAGGACTCTGCGTGGCTCTTGCACAGCCTCTTGTGGCCACCCTAGGAGTAGCTGTCCCTGGCTCTTGGTGGAGCAGCCTGTACTCCCTCAGTCTGGGAGGGGCCCTAGAGGCATAAAACTTGGAGTATTGCTTTACTGTTGTTGAAAGATTGATCCTTCGGCATTTTTTTCTCAAATGATGGACAAGGCAAAGACAGAGACACAATTCAAGCGTTTTGGCACGTCTAAAGCGAAATGTCTGTTGAGGAATGTGTTAACGTAGCAGTACTTGCAAGCAGGACTGTGCAAGTTCCCTGCTTGCCTCTATACAAGTCCACAACTTTTTGCATTTTTTAAATGATTTTTAGATTATATTTTTTTTTAGTACGTATAATTAGCTCCCTTGGTGTCATCGTTTGGTTTCTGGGTTAAGGTCTCCCTTGCTCTAAGTGACTGATTAGAGATGTATAATGTAGGATGAGATTCTCTGGTTATGCAGCTAGTTTATTTCTCTGATCAAATGTTAAGATACAGGAGAGAACGAAGATCAAACACTGTCCCCTCACTGATAAGAATGGGTAATTTTAAAAGCTTGGTTTGTGTTTTGGAAGCAATATGCACTCTTTGCTACAAAGTCCCTTATACAATTTGTTGTTTTAAAGTTTTGTAACCTTTGTATTCAGAACTAAGCTTACTTCAAAACTCAGTCTTTTGAATACAATAATGCATTTTGTTGATTAATGGATGTGTTTAGGCAGTAATACTGTCACTCTTCTGGTCTGTTGCTAATTCCAAGGCCAAATTAGGTTCAAAACATTCAAGTAGCTACATTTGCCTTTTTTGGCTTCAAGTGAACATGTTTTGAAGACAAAGGTAGGAGGAGATATTGTTTATACAGAGAATTACTGCTCTCAATGATGGTACTACTGATGTTTGCACTGCTGCTTAATTTTAACGGATGGAATTTTACAGCTGAAGAAGAGCGAAGCTGGTTTAGTGGCTGAGGAAATTAACAAAGACTTTGGCTGTGCCATGGATCTCATGTGAGCTTGGGCAAATTGCTTCATCTCTATGCCTCTGATTTTTTTTTTTTATTTTTTAAATTCATTTTTACTGCCTTCCATACTTCCTGAAATGCTGTCTTAGATGAAATTCTGCCTATTTCTTCAGCTTTAAATATAAAAGCTCTGCTGCACGTCAGTGGTGTTGTGCAAAGCTTGGGTCTTTGCATCTAGTTTTGCTTCAAAAAGCTTCTTACACTCAATCATCAACAGTCTTACTAGCAAAGCAGGCATTTCCATGGCTCAGCTGAGCCTACTGTTATAATTTGCTTTCCCTTTGCTGCAAGGCAGGATTTCTTTTTCAAGTCCATCTTTCTCCCCAATTTAGGCTTTACCTGTTATGGAACAGCCTACAGGGTATGATGAGGACTGTTACTGGAGGCATTCTTCTACACAGAAAAAGAGATTGAAGAACAGAAAAGTAGCAAATTGTCTGCAACTCAGTACTTTGAAATAATAACACCCCTGACTCCCATCCTAGATTTCTCTTGTTTGGAGGAGCCTTTGTTAGATATGGAGCTAGATATGGAGCAAGACAATGGCAAAAGTAATTTCTGGAGACTGTCTACTGGCTAAAAGGGAGCAATTCTCTCCTTGGAACAAAATTTCTCAGGTAGGCTGTATTGAAGCAATTTTTTGGGTTATGTCAGAAGAAATCTGTCTTCCCAGTGGACGTGAAGCTGACACACAAAAACCCATCAACAACAAAAACACCAAAAGGTGTCTGAGAGTAAACTGCCTATTGAGAATGGTCCATGATATGTGCAGTCCCAGGCCATGGCTGGGCACAGTTTTCAGCAGAATGCTAGTTTGGGTCAAAACGGTACTCTGAGACCATGTTAGCCATTAGGTGCTACTGGCTCTTACGTTCTGCTGCTCAAGTCCGTGTTGTGGTTCCAGTTTAGCTACCAGTATGGACATGACC